AAATAAAATAAAATAAAATAAAATAATTAAAATCTCACATAGTACAGGTGCAAATCACACTGGAAGATCCACAGTGAGGCAACACAACATGCAGCAATTTAGGGAGAACATGTGAGAGATTATTCACAAACAGTAACAGTAGTGTATCTTTCTTAATCTTCTCCTGAACAGGAGACACTCTGGTCAAAAACAAATACTGATTTTGAAACTCTTACCTATATCTACCATATCTTTGGCCCATCGTTCCCAGAATTCATTTGAATTTGAGGACCAGTACAAGCCATCCAGCAAATTCCTAGTAAAGATGTTTGTCCAAAGACCTGCAAGTCAAACCACATGGGAAAACTATTGCACCACCGCATGTTCACCCCTGACTATAACAAGTACCCATGCTACATATTATTGACCCACATGAACTGACCCTGTGATGACACAGCTTCAGCTGGAGGTTCAAACATAATGGTGTCAGCACTTCAGTGCTCTTTCTAAAGAGATAGCTACACAAAGACCATTCACTGTACAGTACAGAGTAACAAAATAAGAGGTATCAGTCACCGAAACGATATTTTGGAGTGTTTACTTGTGAAAGAAAGCAGGCTTTGGAAGCATGGTGAAGCCATAGAATCATAAGGCCCTTTTTTAAACTGATTTATTCTTTAAATTGATCTCAAGACCAATATTTTCCATTCAGGGATGTTTTGTTTCTGAGGTGTTCAAATGGCCCAGGATCAAAATAGAATTGGCTCCATGTACTTTTGGAAAAGAAAGAACTAGCCTTTGTCATAAGCCACATGCCAGGTGGAACAATTCAATCTCTAGCAGACTTCATAGTGAGAGAAATATTTTTGTCCCCACTGGACCCTTGGTTCTAGTATCAAAAGCTGAAATTCTGACAAGGATTTAAAATCTGCCCGAGGCAGATGAATTCCTCTGACTAGCTGCTTTTCCCCTTTTCTTTCCCTTCAGAAGTAGAACAGACAGTCAAAGCAGCTGTTGGAGGTTAAAAGGGCAGGGAAGATTAGTGACACTGTTCTCAACCCACAAAGCTCAAAGTTCTCGCCTTTGTGGGATGTTCTAGATGAGTTATGTTTTATTTTCAGTTCCTTCCAATTCTACCCTGGCAATGCATTGTCTAGAAATATAGTGATGAAGTTGAAGAGTTGATGACTGCTCAGGGAAGGAAGGCTTATTATTTCTTCAACTTGCATTCTCCACTTTCTTTTTTGGTTCAGAAAAATGGGAAGGGGAATAATGCTGCAACTGTCCCAAATCTGCCCAAGTTAAAAGGAGTGAAAGGAGCTTTATAAGGAGCAGAAGTGTACAAAAGGGGTAAAAAGCCCATTGAATCAAGACCTAGAGTAGACCTGCTGGCAAGGAGTGTTGTACACAGACCAGTGGCTAGCTAGTTGCATGTTTTCTACCATGCTGTAATTAATTATAGTGCACTGCTAGATCACCTTCCAGATAGCAGATCCGAGATTCTGGTAGCTTCTTCACTCGCCTTCCCATAAAGAACTCGCTGTCAAAATATTCAGAACGAATGGAGGCTCCGTATTTCGGTATGGCCACCTCATAAGGAGAGAACTCTGCCCACTCTATAAAAGAATTGACATGTGGCGTGTTTACTATAATAAAAATAAGAAAACAAAACCTTCCCCTGTGGATAAAGCTATCCACAAGCTCCATGGATTATGCTTGTCTCAGCAGTTCTGTACTATCAGTAGCTTTGTATTTCAAACTACACTGTACAGCTCCATACAGAACGATGATCTGCATACAAAAGGGACTAGCTTTTTCACCTCAAAAGGAGTCCAATGTTAGCTTCAAAAGTTAGATTCATATTTCTGTATAAAGATGCAGGGATCCCACTTGCCTCTCTAAGTCAAGAGCATCAAATATACAACATTCAAGTGTGATCCAACCTGCCAGGAATGACTGGCATGAAACCTCTACTAACCCAAACTTGTCAGTCTACATGATAGAACAAAGCAGCCTGGAGACATATCAGCAATGAACTAGAAAGTATCACAGTGCGGGCATGGCTGAGTGGTTCTCTGACTCAAGCTGTTCTCTACATGTATTGCAGTGGAACAGTAGCCATAAACCTAACCAAATGTCAGTATTAACTCCTGTTTCCTTTCAGTATCTTCTCATTTTAGTACCTCTTGCTGAATGTAGCCTGTGTCTATTGAAAGGGTGTCATATCACCACCCATCATAGCAGTCATACTCCATTTTCAATACTCTCATCAGTGCAGTATTTAGGGAAGTGAAAATTACATTTCACAGCACCTCTACAAACTAAGGAATCATCAAAGCCATTTTATAGGTGTGGAACTAAGGCAGAAAAAGGTCACGTGATTTGCCCACACTCACTCACAGTGTCTGTGGCAAAACTAGAACTTCAGCCCCGATCTTCAGAAATGCCCTGTTGGTGCCTGAGGATGTTATCCAGTAGATTTGCTCTTTCTAATCAACACCCAGCAGTTCACAAAAAAGACAAACATTTTATTAAAAGATGAATACTGAGTCAGAGCAAGCAACAGATGTATTCCCTTTTTATTCTTACACACACACGCACCCTCCTTCCAAATTCTCTTTAGTCCCTACTCAGAGTCAGGGAAAACTCTAGGAATACTTACCTCTAAATTTGAAAGTACTGAACTTTTCCTCTTTCACATTGAGGACTGAATAGAAAGGCAATGGGTTTTGTCCATGCTCCAGTGCTTTGCGCTGGTCTGTGAGTTTGTACTTTCTTGGCTAATCAAAGAGATAAATCACAGTAAACCTCTGGAAGAGCATAAGGCAAAAAAACCTGACACAACCTACCTGAGAACAGACAGACAACAGATGTTTTACAACCCAGGGGAATTTGTGAGTCACATTTTCATAAGATACCTCTTCACGTTCCTGCACTTTCCTCCCTGGTTGCCTTTTTGATACCTAATAACCTCTTCATTAATACCTAAGTGCCTTGATTGCTTGCATCCCACGGATCTTTACTGAGACTGACACTAATGTTCAAATGAGGACGTATTACTCTAGCTCTTCAGTGTCCAACTAGAAACAGAGTTTAAAAGACCTGACTCTCCAGGGAGGATTGCTCAGTTCTTTCTGAAAGTTTGCCAACTGAAGTCACTAGCTGCTGGGCACCCTAGTACAGAGGCATCTTCAAACCATTAGCTACCTAGGAAAATCCTGGCTACAAGATCCTCTGTCCTTGTTTACAAATCACACTGGGATGCCTCAGTCACTTTGAATTTGTTCCACACATTACGTCATGCCCTGAAAGAGTAAAGCTCTAAAGAAAATGAGTGGATGTTTCACAGATGTGTGGTAGGACTGTGTACATACCCGTTCATGCAAGAACATTTCCTGAACAAGTGACCACAGAGTTGTAAAAGATGAGACATGTCCTGCTTTTGTCCTTTCAGCTATTTCCTTGTGATAATACTTCAGATGCTCTATAGACATAAGGTTGAGCTTGCATTTTGTCACTTGTTCTTTTACTGCCTTAAGTGGCCCCTCTAGACTCTTCTGTGACCAGTCAGCATGCTCATACAGGTCTGCTAGGGTCCTAAAGAACAGAAACATGAGAAAATAATCCATTTATGTTTGGATGATTTTGGAAAATGAATCCACTTCCATCAAAGAAGAGAATCAGTAAGCCTAAACTGAAGTTATGATTGAGAGCCAATAGTAATAGCTTTACCAAGGAATTACATTCACTTATTAACAACTGAAGACTTCCAAAGAGATGCTGTGTGGAAATATAGTGTCACAGTCATTCCAAATGCAAATCTCATTTTCTATACGCACCATGTTGAGCCAGAAGCCCCAGTGACATAGGTAACACAATCCAACAGATTTAGCTTCTGAAGAGCTAAGAGGTGGCCAAACATAGCTGACATTGCTCTGAGACCTCCACCTGTTGCCATAACAGCTATTACTGGGACCTGTTCAAAACAGAAGTATTATCTTCAAAAAGTTACTCACTTGCCTGCTTGGAAAAGTCTAATTACAGCTCTTAGAATTTTCTCAGCAGATTTCATTGAAGAACAATGTAATTAAATCAACATTCAGCCAGTCTTTACCAGTGCCTCTTTAAATTAACCTCTGGATAGTCAGTGGGTTACCTTAACTTGGGAAAGCTTGGATGAGTTTGAATATGCAGTGATTTTTAACCTTCCTTCCTCCCCTTCTTCTTTATAATTGGAATTGCAATGATTAATAACAGGTAATGATATAATTTTATTATAAATAACAAAAATTACAATAAGTGTAATCAAGAATGGATTCAAGGAAGTCCTGAGCAGAGTTCAGAAAAAAATATAACGATTCTTTGAACAGCATCCATTCAACAAATACAATTCCAGCAAGAAAATAAATGTTCACTTAAAAATTCACTCTGGATCTTGGCAACAAAACATACTTCAGATGGAGTTTGTTATAAAATGTTCTTTTTCCACCCTGAAGAATTTTGATTTTTTTTTTGTTAAAAGTGTTCTAAAAATGTTAAAAAAAAAGTAAGTCTAAAGAAGGGACATTACCATTATTTCATAAATATCTATGTGAGGTGAATGTCAAATACTCTTGTTTTCCTACTTGGTTTGGATTGTCTGGCTAGGCTGTCTAACACAATGTACCAATGTCTCGTATCTTGCTGACCCTCTGCATGACTCAGTTGGAAACTCTGGCTTTGAAGAGTGGTACATTATGCCCTTGGGAATTTGACCCATTGAAAAGAATGGAGGCATGAATAGCTGAGCTGAAATTTTAGATGAGTATGGGGTATGCCCCACTGAGAACTTCTGTTCTGCTGCCATTCAAATCAAGGGGTTTGTCATCAACATGCTAAAACTACTAGAAATTTTGTGGGGAGTTGTGCCATCCTAATTCAATAGATCCACACCCCATGCTTAGATTCCAGCTCACAGACCTCACGTCCATGTAGATCTCTTTCCAGATGAAGAACCCTTTTCAGGGCACTGGCAACCACTCTCTTCCTTTTTTGCAAGAATTCTTGCTCTTCTCGACACAGATCATACCCTAAGCGCACATCCAGCTTTTCTGTGCTGTAACATAAATAAATCCAGAGGTACAGGATTGGTGGTTAAAATGTATATGGATCTATTTTCAGCAACTGCAGTCCACTAAATATAATAAAAAATCATGATTCGCTGTTCAGATTTAGAGACAGAAATGCAGCTTCCAGTTTCAAAGAAATCAACTGCTTTGCTTCTATGTGGTCTCTTTATTTTCTGATGTTTAATTGTAAGCTTTACTGCCAGCTAAGGATAGCAAATATGAAAAAAGAAAGGCTCCTTTGTGTCCTTCAGTAACTTTGTAAGCTGAATCTTTTGTATTTCTGCTTCCTATAATTTCTGAGCAAAGGGTGACTTGAACCTAACAAGGTCTTTCATGGGGATTCATACCACAGTTTTATACAAAAACAGTACAATGAAAAAGATATTCAAATAATTTTGGTTTATTTGTTGTCTGTCTCATTATTTTATAGTGTAAAATTTCACTTTCCCTAGCTTGTGCTTTTTTCTATTGATATTACCAGAGCCACAAATCTATTTTCTTAAGAATACCTGTGTGGTTTGAGTCATGTATGTACTCTGGATGTTTTGCTTATTTCAAACTCCCTTTTCCCTCTGCTTTCTTCCCGCTTCTATGTCCCTTTTGAAGAAGCCTCCACTCTCAGTCTTTGGTTCTTTGATGCAAGGGACACTAAGTGACTAAGTTCCTCACTGTTTGAAATTATCATAATTTTTTTTTGCATCCTGGCATGACTCTCTTGCCCCAAGGACAGTGAACTTTGATCTGTCGTAGTGACTCTTTATTGGTGACTTAACTATTGTTATATTTTGCCCCTAGTCTTCTGTGTTCCTTGTATCTAAATAAAGGATACTGTTTTAGAATTCACAGTTCAAAGAGCAATAAAACCTTTAGAGAAAAAAACAGTCTTCTTACCAATCATTTAACTGGAGGTACAACTGCAGTGGCACATTCTATAAACAAAGAAACGAGAGCAGGAATATGAATGACTGGAAAAAAGAGAAGTTTTGAAATCCAGATTTTCAGCACCTCCTGGAATGCCCCACCACTACCACCCTGCATACAGTTTTTTGGAAAGATGAAGAGGTAGGAGGAGTCCAAGTGGCTAGACAAATGGGCTGTGAAACAAGATTTCTTCCTCACTGTGAATATACCTCCATGAACTATCCTAAACCACCAGCAGTATTGACACCCTCCTATTCTTGAGGATGAAGAACAGCAGCCAGGGAAATATAGTGATACGAAGAGGAAATACAAGTCACTACATCCTTTCAAAAAGATACTGGAGGGAAAAGAGAGTCCCCACAGAGAGATGGGGAATCACTAGTGGCAAAACAGACACTCATTCTCCCTTCTATTTATGGGAAAGGCTGCTAAGAAATTCTTTTCCTTCTGTTTTTGCCTCTCATTTGCTGCAAGGTCTGGGAAAGGATGTCTGACTATTAACAGATTCACCTGGCCACATTACTACTGCTTTTAAAGCAATTTCAGAGTTGTATCTCTCCACCAGTTACCATCATGACTGTATGCATAGAAGAACGTGAACAGAATTGTTCTCTGTGGGTAAGATTCAACTCATCTTACTTTAGCCATCTAAAATTTAGGTATATAGACTGAGCTAGCCATCCAGGCTTGATAAAGATCAGTGGGGCATCCCAAAGCCTCACCAGGGTATTGAGTATTCTCCTTTAACTGTGTAAGGACAGCAGAGATTGGTCTCAAATGCATCTAAAACTGGTAAGGATGAATTCTCAATTATTGAGTTTATTGACAGAAAATTGATATTTCTCTGAGAACACTAGCCTTTTTCACAGAAAACTTGTATTCTCACTCAGACTTACTGGCTGATTTTTTGTTAAAATTTTGTGTTGTTAAATACTGAAGGCTACTTTACTCTTGTCTCCAAAAGGTCATACAAATGGTGAAGCACTTACATGTCTTACAGGGAGGGTTACTTTCACTCTATGTCCAACAGGGAGAAATTTCAGTGGTACTGTTAAGGTGTCACTTAAATTGCTGTTGTCATCTTCCTTATCAGAAACTTTCTACAGAGAATAAAAAACCATGGTTTTTATTCACAGAAAATAAATACAGTTCTTTACTGTTTCGGTGACGCTGGAAATAAGCAAGCAGTATGAACAGTGGTATTATATCATGCCCGTTACCTGCAGTCTGACTTTTAGAACTGGCTCCCAAGCCTTCACACAATGAAAGTAGAAAGTATCGGTCTCCTCTGTAGTTTTCTGTGTTCCCTCATGAGATGCAGGCACCGTAAGCACGAGATTTTTACCCTCTAGTGAAAACAAATTTGTTTAGAGAGTAATACTGCTGTTCAGGCAAAATAGATAACAAAGTTGGCAAACTTTCTGCTGGAGTCATTCCCTGTGGCAAGTCCTCTGTAGGCTGCCACACTGGGCACCAGTTCCCTACAGCATGGGAACTGGTACTCTTGCCTTTACCCCATAGCTTGGAGTGCTCCTAGAGTCAGCACTCTCATACTTCCACCAGCAAAGTTTACTGTGTCCAAACTTGATAGCTTTGAGGAAAACAGAGACATCAGTGTTAAAACTGGAAGCAGTGAAGGACTTTCACTGCATTACATTTTGTTGTCTTTAGAACATTCTTAGTCATCTCTGTATCCTAAAGTGCCTCCATCTGGGTCTGAATTGCTATAATGAGGTTGATTTGGTCATGCCTTCACTTCACAGAGAAATCAGCATACCTGTCAAATATTTCCTACTTTCATTAGCATCCACTTGCACTTCCAAGCAGCAAACCTCACGGGACTGTAAAAGACAGGAGTGGAAAAGTGTGAAGATACCAAATGCCACATCTGCAGCGAATAATTCAATATCATGCAGACAACCACTAGCTATAATATAGAGCCAACTAAACTGGTCTCAGTGCTGGAAGCAACCCAGCTGCACAAGAGTAAATTCAGAGCTCATTATCCCAGGAGAGTAGCCCAGTTACACTGCTTCAGAACTAGCTTGTCCATACAGTGGTGCATTGCCAGGGGTTGTTATACCCATTCAAGTTATCCCAAAATCAGGAAACTGTACAACACACTGATGCCCAAGCACAGCTACACATATATCTGATAATTATTTAGGAAGGGTGGGGGAAAGCACGTGATGATGAGTTTTTGTGTATTGTGGCTGTGATTAGTCTACAAGGCATCTTCTTGTTGGTCTTGTTGTAGGGAGAGCATAGATTTATTCCACCCTACCCTCCACCTGAGTCATTCCAGTTCACCTTTAATAACTCATCCCAGGACAGCTTTCCAAGCATTACAGCTACTATGCCTCACACAGAAAATGAGGGGGAAAGAACAGAATAAGTGTTATTCTGCCTCAGGGGTATTAAAGGGTAGCATCTGGAAATCATGTGCAGGCTTGGAGTAGTTGGCATGAAGTACTTTGTACTCCTTAGCTGCTGGGCCAGCCCAAGGAGATAGGTAATGCACCACATGCTGACTAATACCAGAAGAGGACTCTATGTTTCAACAACTAAAATAACTCTTTATTAAAAAACTCATCCAAAAAGCTGTTAGATAACCTTCCAGTTCATAGGCACATTGAATACTTACTATTGCCTTCTACAGACTCCTCCCTTTTATAACCTTTGTTTTTCCTGACAAGTGCTATACTGCATTACATGAAGCACAAATAGGTTTCACTTTAAACACCAACAAACATGGGGTTCTGCAACATTAACAAACCACAGCTGGGCCAAATATTGACATTTGTCATCCCTGAGGACTTCAAAAAACACAGTTTCTATTTTTGCATGGAGGGGGCAAGAGTTAAGCTATAAGGAATGGGAATTGTCCCACCGCTTTTCCTTTATAATGCACACCATAATCTTATCTATCATGGTAGCTTCTGTTCTCTCTATAAAATGTCAGGTGGCTGAGGGGAAGAGGAGAGAATCAAAAGCCACTCCAAGGTAAATTCATATGTGACCCTTACCACTAGGACATCATTGGTAATGAGGTGCTCTGGAGGGCCAGGACTGAAAAGACAGAATGAAAAAAAAACAAACAAACAAAAGCTGTGTCAGTATCTGGTATTTTTTAAAAAATAGTAGTTTTATGACCTTTCCTGCTTAAAATTGAATATACTTATGTCAGTAACACAATTTGATTTCTAAAAGGCATAACACACGATCCTGCTAAGAACATGAACTAAAATATAATAGCCAACCAAGAAGAAAGGCAGGGCAGCCCATAAAAATGCTTAAAACTATATGCTAAAATACAGCAGAACAAAGACACATTGGTCTGTGTGGAATCATGCCATGCTATTAACAAATGACCATGTGACTTGAGGAAAGCAAAGACTCCTATTAATGTGTTCTGCAAACACTTATTAGTAAAGACATTTCTGACTGTTCCAGATTATAATTTACAACTGATCACAAATGAACGGCAAATAAGAATTAGTTCTCACTGTGCTATATGTATGACTGGAAAACACAGAGGTAAGTAATAGAGTCTTTGTCCCAGACAATTTACCTTGTGAGATCTAGGTCTGTCACTGAATGGATGTAGTTATTTAATACTACGAGTAACCTACAGAGTCTACTAACAGCATCTCTCATTAAGGCCAATACTCCAACATCATTATGTTACACACATTCATAAGCACTTTCATATATCTGAAAAGACCACTAAAGTTATGTAGTATGTAATAAAAGTCCGGGGTATTTTATCAAGCACCACTTCCAGCCTTAAAACTTCTATTTCAGCTGTAGAATGTACTTAAATAGAAATAATTGGGTTTGACCTCCAAGGATGGAGAATCCCCCATGTGCCTTAAAACTTGAATGGTGAAAGGTGTTCCTCTTATTTCTAGTCTGAATCTACTCAGTCCAGTTTTCAAGCACTGCATCTCGTTCTGTCCTTTTTATATTTCTGGCTGTGATTGTTTCCATATTCACAGGAGTTGCTTATACAATCTCTTAATGTATCTCTCATAGATAAATTAAATAGATTTTCTTGAATTTCACTGTGGGAGGAATTAACCAAGAACACCAATGATTTTGTTCTGCAGCTTTTCCATGTTTAAAAATGACACCTTATTTACAGTTCCTTCATCTAATCATGCAGTTAGTCAGATTTGACTGTATATATTCCTTTATTTTTGTAATGCTAAACTCAAATATGCCAGAATGTGTAGTTTAGGGGGTTTTTCAGCCAAATTATGATAGCATTTAAGAGAGAGATAAAGTTTATATTATAGGCTTTGTTCTCCTCCAGACAATGTTGATTACCACTTTGAGGGGAGTGGCCTTAATTTCATTATTGGTGATTGTATATTTTTTCAGTTTAACTAAGCTATTACCTAATGGATGACTTTTCTAATACTGTCTACATAACTCTAACTATATATCATGATAATAATACAAGTTTTCTGGTCTTTTAGAAACACTACAGTGTTCTAGGCATTGTTTAATTAATATTAACAGCTTGAAGAGCACCTCTGTTAAGTTTTACATGCATCTGGTGTACCAGTTATTACATCGTGCCAATATTACTACATTGCCAGGATCAGGATATACATGTCAAACAGAAGGTAAGATTTATATGAAATGCACTGAAAGGTAGAATCAGCTGGGGAAGTTAAGGTAAAAAGAAGTTTGAAATGGTAATTTCAGCTCACTGCTTGGAGGAAGAGCTGGAAGCAGGTCCTCTTTCTCTGAGATATTATTGCTCCCTGGCAGATCTTTCAGCTTTGGAATTTTACTCACATTCTTTCCATCCAGAATTCCACTTCCAAACTTTCCCATTTCCTTCTGCAGCTCTCTTTCTGAAAAACAACACCAACAAAAAAGGGTAAAATAAATATGGATTATGGAGGCTGCAAGAATTTGCCAGTATAGACATATCTAAAAAGCACTTCCATGGCTGACATTTCTGCTAATGTCACCAAAAAAGCTGTGTGTTACCTCTTTCCAGAGCTGAGATTGCAATGGAAACCACAGCCTTTGGAAGATTAATATTCTCCCATTGTGGGATATGTAGCATTATACTTATTTCCAAAGATATAATCAGAGAGGGAAAACTTAAATGAAACAGAAATATAATGGCTTTCTGCAAAGATGCTGTGCATGGGGGGGAAAGGCATTGAAGTCCAGCAACAAATGTGACTAATGGCAGTATCATTTCCATGTACAAACCATTTAAATCAGATTCACACTCAATCCAGCAGAGCACTCTGGACTGAGGTGGTTATTGAATCATTGTATTTCCCAGTGACTCACTCACTAGCTGAGAAGTGCATGGCACCATCCTGCAGAGTCACTGGGAAGATCCATGTTAACAGCTTTCAGCATTTGGGAAGTAGTTGTTCTTTTGGGTATGAACTGTGTCCTTCCTGCAATGAGCATGTAGCAATAACTCAGCCACAGCTCAGACAAGCCCAGGAACTGTCACAGACCTACCCCAGCTTTGTTCTCTGGACAACAGTTATGGGCTTAACAGAATACCAAAGATGTTAGGAGAACAGATGTCCTTTTAATATGGGCTAGAGAAACCTAGTTTCCTACAAGGAAACCCAGCATGAACACCAATAGGAGAAACCTGAAAGAATCATTTAATTCAAGTGGTGAGTGGATTGTCTTCATGTTTTTAATAGAAGTTGCCATTTAAAAGGAAATGTCCTCTAAGCATGGCAAAAGTGGAATAAACCCAAAAGCTAAGAAAGTTATTTATTTGGGTTATAAAATATAAAAATGACTATTTACAGATGCTAGCTGTTAACATATTTTGCCCCTACAGAGATGGTGGGTGTGAGAGAGAAGTGGCTTCATATTCTGTATCTGTGAAAAGAGATTAATGAAGTCACAAAAATTCATCACAATTATATCTGTTTTGATGAAATACTCATGTTACCAATATATATGGATATCTGTTTATGCAGACCTAAAACTCACTTAACATGGAAGCCAATGTGGACAATGAGGTCTGGCTGATCACTCCATGTATTTTCAGTCCTTACCTCTGATTTCAAAGCAAATGTTTCACGCAGTGTCTCTCCAGGTCTGATTCTAGCAACATTAAAAAGAACTGTGAACTGCATGTCATCTTTGGTGAGTGGATCTTCATCACACACTGCCAATTCTAAAATGTTCTGGTAGTAGAAAATAATAAATAAGAACTCTTATTGAGCTGCTATTACACAGAAACAAAAAAATGGTTATAGACTTTTGTAGCTGATTGACTAGCACAGAAGAATAAAGAAACCTGTGCTTTTCTTCAGGAGTTTGCTAACGTGGAACACAGTCATTAAACCCAACCTTGGGAAACTTATCATGGAATAGAAGACAACTACCTTTAAGAGAGAGGTCCCACTATCCTGAGGTAGAAAAAATGTCAGCGATTTGCAACACACTGATAACCCACCCAAAGAACACACTTTGCTCAGTTTCTTCATCCCCAAAGTTCTGTTAATTACACAGCTTAGGATAGGATTAAATTTACTGTCTACACCACAGCAACTCCTCCACCCTTCTCTTACAACCAGTAGAGGAAAAGCTCTTTTTAAATCAACCATGCAAAATAGCCCAGATGAAGCATGCTATACAGTACTTATTTCTCTCAGGTGACAACAAAGGGAGTCAGGACTAGCTCAGGTGTCTACAGACATCACCAATGTCTATAACTAGCTGAGAGGAACACTACACCATGCATCTGCTGTTTTGGGCTAGCCTGGCAGTTGCAAATTCTGTTACACAAGCATTTTCTTAAGTTATTTAGCACAGTTGATCAACGGGGTGTCAACTGAGGATTCCCAGCTATTTAAAATGGTGACATTTCTATTTTTTTTTACTACCTCAACTTCTCTCTGGATCCTAAAGTAGAAAGTCTCATTCCAGACAGGGTTGTCAGAATTCTTGATAGTTTTGGTCTGAAGCTTTCCCTTCGAAGCAGATGGCAGCCACAAGCGCACATAGCAGTCTGATGCAGTCACTGCAGCAGAAAAAAAATTTAAAAACACAATGCCAATATTATAGATTAAACTTAGGGCAAGGCCATGATTCTAGGGACTAATAAATAATACTCCTTTTTTTAAAAAAGAAGAGACCACTGGTTGGAAGCAACCAAAGAAAACCATCTTGGTATACTATCTAATTCCCGGGTAAAATTGCAAACGTACACATACACACACAAAGTACACTAAGAGTCATGTTTTCCATGTGAAGAGAAAGGTAAAAAAGACCCCACTGACCATTCATTGGACATACTCCCTAGAATTCCAGTCAACTATGTTAAAAAAAGTTTAACTGAAACTAGAGCTAGTTCCAAAAAGGGCTGTTAGGATGATTATAGGAAAGGAGAACACATATGACAGAGAAAATCACAGGAGACTGGCTTGCTCCATCTAGCAACACAAACATGCAGAGGGGACGTGACTTCTGTCTAGAAGGGTTAGGTACTTGGGCCAGTGTGGGCCCAAGAACACAAGGGCATGAAGAAGTCAAAAATCTTCATCTCACTTCCAGCCTACATCTACTCCTTATGGTTAGTGCAGTCAGTGCCTCAAGCAGACGTCTTTTGGGAAGAGCCAGGGTGGGAAAGCACATTTACTTTGTGAAGCTTGACAACGGTGTGAAAGGAAATCTCCAAGGTGATGTCTTTCAGAGCTGGAGTCTGGACTTGACTGAAGATGTCTACTGCAGCCCGAGATGCCTAAATACTTCAGACTCGTATCAAGCAGTGAATAACAATGCCCCACAAGGTTTTGGCAGGAAAGTGGAACTGTCCCTTCAATAGAGTAGATAGAAGAGATCATTGAAACTCAGAAATACAGGCCTCGTCACACTACCACCTTTCTAGTGTCCACCTCTGGGCGTTGCAATGTGGCATTTGCCACAGGAATACAGGAAGCCCTTTGGCAGGCAGTGACTCAACCAGCGGGGGATTCGCTCCCTCTGGTCTTCCTGACATCCAGGCTTGGCCAAGGTTGTGCTTGGCCCTGCATGGCAAGATGCAAATGGTCTCAGCTGTAACTCAAGTAACTCACTACAAAGTGATGCTTTTTTGGCTGAACATGTTGCTTTTCACTAGAGGAATACACAGGCCAGAGGTTTCAAGAGTGAGAAAAGGCAGATCAAGGTCTCTGCCCTGACTGAGGAACCCATAGGAGACCTCTGCAAAAATGGCAGCTGACTGGCTGGTCCACAGTACACCTTGAGAAGGAACCATAGGAGGCTGTGAGGGTGAGATAATGAGTTAAAGAAAGTTTAATACAACAGTACACACAAAAGTCTGTTTTGCTTGCACGTGCTTAGGGCTGGATGTACAGAGGCCCTCCTTAAGCAGAAACTATCAATATAATTTAACATGACTGGTCATCTGAGAACAGCAAATACCCCAAATGATATGGTATCTTAGACAGCTTGAAATTCTCTATTTTACTTTTCATTATTGTGTATAATTGATACATTTCAATAAGAGGTCCCTAAATACGTGGCCTGTGTGGCAAAATTCCAGTCCATTATACGATTTACACCAATTATGAACATCAAAACCAAACAACTTCAAGCAGATTGCAGTGTCCTCACAAGGCCTCCATTCCTTTGTTGGCCCAGGAAATTAATCTGGGAGTCTTGGTTTTACCAGTTCCCCGAAATGCCACTAGATAGGTCCTCCAATCTAATGATACCTCAGGCTTTTGATCTAATTATAGCCCTGGCATTAGTACCTCTGTTGCTGTGCTTTATGTACATTGCTTGTATACCTTCAGAACTTAGGAACATTGTTCACTGTGTAAACTCTGCAGGTGACTAAAAAGAATCAAACCACAACTCACACAGGTCTCTTGACTTGATGTTCCTAGCTTGTATGATTCTTACGGAAAGCATGTGGATGGGGCAAAACTTCATCTGCAGAGAAAACAAATGCAATGCAATTAGTTTTATCAGCTCAGAATACAAAAGCAGTATGTATTTTGAACAGTCTGTCCTTCTGTTTGTCTGTTTGGAGTGAGGGGCCCACCCTCCAGTTGAAGTACACCATGCTAAGGTGATAGCAGGATTGTACACTGGGCTATTTGCTAAGAAGCTTGAGTAAATGAAGACAAAGAAAACACAGACTCAGACAATGTCATGGAAAGCTTTCGTAGTCATTCTAGAGGTGCCTATTTCCATACAACCTGATGCATGCATGGCCATGGCAATGGCTGTACTGCCAATCTGCCAAAGGTCCTGTGCCACAGGTAGGACAAAACTGGGCCTTTGGAAGTCAATATGAGGAACTTGCAGCTGCCTGGTGGGCTCCTGGCACAGCACTGACACTAGGCCAGGACATGGTAGTTACCAGCATGCTCTAAAAAACTCTGACTTTGTATCCCAACTAGGATCCAATTTT